CTTGTATATGTGTATTGTAAAATAAACTCTTTAGCACAATGAAACAAGATTATTTTAGCTATAGTAGTCTTTCTCAATTGTGAGACAGGCACTGGCTCAGTGACTAAGCTGTTGACTGTTAACCGGAAAGTCAGTGGTTTGATTGCCCTGCAGCAGCTCAGAGGGAGGGAGATGTGGTGCGTGCTTCTGGAAAAACGACAGCCTTGGAAACCCTGTGGGCCTAGAGTACTGCAAGGTGTGCTAGGAATTGCAATCGAGTCCATATCAATGAGAGTCTACATTGTGTTTGGTCAATATTTTGCTTTTTTAATATTCTTAGTTGAAGTTTTATATAAAGAGTAACATATTTTTAATCATAAATGTTTTATACTCCCAGATCTACTTACCAAGATGCTTAGAATGATAATGGTGTTAATAATAATAATTTCTGAATGAATAGCAGGGGCTAAAATGAAAATTATAACCATGCATTTAACCATTGCTTAAATGTTTTAAAATGGTAATAGTGATGAATGCTTTCTTTTTTATAATGATTCCAATGTTAGTATAAATTATATGCATGGCAAAAATGCTCATGCAAAGTATGCTCAGCGTCTATTTACATACCGTGGAACCTTCCTATTCAGATTAATTACTTTCAATGACTTATGTTAATACATTTGGTAACCTTTTTTATTTTTTCTTGTTTGTTTGCAGGTTTCAAATTTTGGATACTGGTATTTGTTTATATTTTGAGGATTTTTTTTTTCCTTTTGAATTTTTTTTTCCCTTTTGAAGTCATCTGTCTTGAAGAACAGCAACGGACCCCAAAAGTTACTTACTTCACTACACATTGGAGACTTTTCCCTTTTGAGGAACTCTTACGTCTGAACATACAGCCATGTGGCCAACACAGCTACTAGTCTTCATGATGCTCTTAGCCCCAGTAGTTCATGGTAAGACTTTTAATTACGTTTCTGTATGATGACGAATGTGGTTTCACTTGTTCAAAATAGACCTTTTCTTCCAAATGTTTCCGCTGAGATTTTATATCTTATGCATACCATGCATTAATATTAGTAAGCTAATATAAAATGAGTATGACAATGATTTTCTGAAAATGTCTATCGAAATATATGTAGAACCAAAGTACCAAAGTTTTTAAAATACTCCCATATATTTTACTCTTAGTTTTTAAGTACTCTATGCTACTTCAAGTAAATCGTTAAAATATCATTATGAATTTATTGGTTAAAATTTTTATATTTTAAATATTTTTGATGTAATAAATATACATGTTTGAAAGATAATTAAAAAGAAAACCTTGCCTTTTCAAACCACATAATCTTTCTGTTTTGTCTGAGTACTTACAATACAGAGTACAACTGAAACTTCTTATTAAAGGATAATTATTTCTGTCTTATAGCTTTCAGTGCACCAGAAATAAAAACACCACCAACAAAAAAATAAACATTTACTTTCACTTTTCAATCAAAGATAATTTGCTGAAGTATGCTAATGCATTCATAATGGACTGTATACTCACTTTGTTCGTTTCCTTATCTTGCTATTATAGCACAAACGTGATAACTTTAGAAATAATGGATCTATACAAATTTTATAAAATCTATAATTATTCAATAAGAAAATAAGATACTTCTTCAAAATGTGGTGAAATGTTCGCTGAATCTTTAAAAATTGGCATAGTGAAGGGTTATACATGTATTTCCCTTTCACAAGTTAAATTTTTCTTCTAATTATCTTTGGTTTAGAAGTGAGATAAAAATGGCTTAATGTAGTCATTATGTCATATGTTAATGGTAATTATAGTATAGGAAAGGGGACACAACTATATTTGTCACTGCTTAGAAGGGCTCAGATTATCTTCATGTAAAAAACAGCTAAAATGGATTTTTAGGCTCTTTTAGTTTATTTTGGGTTTTTATTAAGTACAGCTATGGTAGTTCATTAATGTTGCAATTCTGAATTTGATCTGAGTTCCTCAGTTTCAACATGAATTGAATTTGGTTATTATTACAAAACTAGGAAAAAATAACGAATTTTTCTTCTAAAGCCCCCCTCTACTTAGTTCTAAATTATGCTGAGGTTATGATATTAAAATCTATTTTAAATTTTAAGTTAAACTCTACCTATCTGGTCACCTAGTTTAAGCCATATAAATTTTACTTAATTAAAAAAAATTAAAAATCTATAAATTGATGCATGATTTACACATTTTTTCTATTGGGCAATAAAAGAATTCTCATGTTCAATGAATTTTTAAAAAATCACTATCCGTACACTGAAAGGTTACTTAATTTTTTTAAGTCTACAAAAAGATATTTACTATAAACCTATATCTACAGAGGCACAGAAATTTGTGTTCAAAAGATTAATCTGAAATGAGTCCTTTTAGAGGAAGGTAATTTAGAGACAATAGAAATTCACACTTAAAGATTCCCTTAGGTTAGAGTGGACATCCTAATTCTCAGCATTTTTATCTTCTATATGTGCTCCATGACCCCGGTGTGGCAGACAAAATGCAGGCCTTGGGTTTGGGTCTGGAAGTCTGTATTAAATATATACGCGTGCAGACACACACCATTTCTTCAACTAACCAACCTATATTTAAAACCCCTCAACATAATGTTTTAGCACAAACACTGTTACCTGCTGCATAGGACATTTTTGGTTAATAACTAAAATAGTTGCTTTTGTATTGTGAACTGCTTAATATTGGAATCACATCAGGCTGAAGTTTTATAATCTCCCTGTTTATAAACTTCGACTTTATTCCCTTTATTTCAAAACTTTGCATCAGAGAAGATTGAGTTAGGTCTATCCGTCTTGTCTGGCAGGCCTTCCCTCTTGTATGTGTGATACCACTTCTTCCTGGTGAATGAAAGGCTGTACTTAGCAACAACCTTTGGGAACCTAATTTGTTCATAACCAGGAAAATGTATGCGCCTTTCATGAAGTGTGAGATATAATGAGATATACATATTTTTTTTAGTGTCCACACACTGGGATTAAAGGAAGACTCAAAGCTTAGGGGACAGAGTTAAAGTGAATGCCACACGATAGCAGTCCCATTACTTCTGCGAAGCCCTTCATGATCCCATTTTGCCGACTGCTGTTGAGATGTTCAAAATTATTCGATTCATGGCCATTTAAAAGTAATGTTTATTAATTGTTATCACTTCATCCAGAGCAAATTATAATTATGGCTAATTATTTACAGCCACAAACGTTGTTGTTGTTAGGTGGCATCGAGTCGGTTCTGGCTCATGGTGACCCCATTAGGCACAGTAGAAGAAAACACTGCCCGGTCCCAAGCCAGCCTCACAATTGTTCCTGTGCTGGAGCCATTGTGTCAGTCCATCTCGTGGAGTGCCTTCTTCGTTTTTGCTGCCTTTGACTTTACTTCGGTTAATTCCCACAGTAATATCATGGATTTATTGTTACCCTTTTTTGCCATTACCATTATACAGGCAAAGGCATTCCAAGGCACTGAATGATTGAATAACTTGACTGAGGTTATACAGCATCTTAAGTGTTACAGTGGAATTTTAAAATGAAGGATCTTTTTGAGCTCTGGTCTTACTGCCAATAGAGTCTCATTTCAATGTGTCCAGGCATGAGTAAAGGAGAGGCAGAAACATTGATCACACGATTCTTCCAAATTCTAGTCATAAATTCTAGATACACTGGTCTTTGAAGTCTGACAGATAAATATGAGTTGCAATTCCAGTTCTGCTGTCTACCAGCTATTACTTGATAAACTCATCAATAAATACCAATTTTTATCCATTGTTTGGCAGAAAATAATGTAAGTAGCAATAATAAATGAATAGAAAAATAGATGTATAACTTCTATTCAAGCATTTGATGAACATTCAGAAAATTTATGTTCCCATTTCATAACTTATTTTGAAACAAATATATACTCAGATAATTAGCTTAAAGCTCATTTATTTTATTCTTACCGTGAGAATTGAAAGAAAAATATCTTCCTCTTAAATTTTATTGTTCAAGTGTTTAAAAAAATTTTCAAAACACTAAATATGTCTTTCTAAATAGACGTTTCTTCTTAATAAGCTATATAAATGTCTAAACGTTTTCACCAAATATTTATGCATGCTTTAATCATTCTTTTAATTAGTAGTGTATAATTGTCAGTTTTACTTGCATAGATATAAACAGAAAATAAAAGAATTCATTTAAAGTAGCATGTACACTAGCTGACCAACTCTCCACATCATCTTAGAAAGCCTGGTTAAGGTTTTATGCAGGAAAACAAAATTTAATAACAGTATATAACATTATATAGATGCATACACACAAATTTTAAAATTAAAAAAATGTCTTTGGTGTGTGTTTATCTGTCCATACTTTATGTTTCTGTGTACTGTATTTCTTTTCTCTTTTTTCATGAGTGTACCTTGTTCATATAGAGCCATAACACCCGTATCTATAATGCAGTGAGACCTGGCAGAAGAAGAGCAGCTAAAGCAGATGGCCAGTCTTTTTCTGTGAGCAAATGTATTGTGCAGGAAGATCAAGGATCTTCTTTGTTCTCTTGATGTAGCTGGGAAGAGGGGATAAGAAAAGAATTGAAGAACAAAAACCCAACAATAAAGAAAGCCATCTGGGGCTCATCCTGATTGACAATAAAAGACCATCCAGGTCCAGTGTGGGATCCTTGCTTAGGAGATCTAGTACTAAGAAACATCTCAATTCCAAGACCATTTGTTTGGGAATTGAGAAAGTGGTGCTGGCGCTCAGATATTATAACTATATCTTAATTAAACTTCACTTAAAAATGATATCACAGTGGCAAAGTTAGGAACAATATTATTTGGATTTAATAGCTAGGGTAATGAACAATCTATCTGATTTTCAATGTTATCTTCACAGAAGGAAAAACAAATTTCCATATCTGTAATAAGCATAATTTTTATCCATAACTCTATTTTTATGTTATTACAAAGATGCATTTACATTTGTATGTTTACAGATTTTATTGGTTAGATCCCTTTTTATTATGTTTAAGAGTTAATTAGACACCTTGTAGTTAGTTAGTAGCTACAAAGAATGAATAAATCAACACATATATTAAATACATAATTTTATGTAATTCACATTTTGTGACAATTTAGAACATATTTAATGTATCAATAATCTAAAATAATATTCATGTTTCTTGTAGCTTCTATTAAGATATTACGCTTTTGAAAGTACAAAATTTACATTTTGCTACACAGCGTTTTACCATACACTTCTTTTATGAAGATGTGTTTATTAGTTTTGAAGGAGTCAGGTTGACTTTTAATCTGTTTAACTTTATATTTTAGTGATTAATCATCCTTGAAATATTTATAGTGTTTGCCAGCCTAGATAATTTATTATATCTTCAGTAGCATCACTATTTTTATTATCCAATATGTTATACAGAAAAAAACTTTGTCATGGTGTTAATATTTGAGGTTATTGCTGAAATAGCCAACAGCATTCAAGAACTTACTTCCTACACTGAATTTCTTAAACTAACTGCACAAACTCTAACAGCACAAATTATTCTATAAACAGCCATGCAAATTGGTTTACTTTATCTCTAAGAATTTGTTTCAGAATCTTCCCTATTCACTTCGTATACATGTTCACTATGGAAAATAATTTTCTTTTGCTCTCTCACCTGTAAGATGTGTTATGTATGAATTGTGTGGTAGCGATGATGTGAGTATCATGTTTAAAGGAGTCCTGGTGGTTTGGTGGGTTACATGGACTGCTAACCTCAAGGTCAGCATTGTGAATCTAGAAACCCTTGAGCAGCTCCACAGGAGAAAGCTGAAGCTCTCTGCTTCTGGAAAGATCTATAGCCATTGAACCCTGTGTCAGGTCTCTATGAGTCAGAATCGAATCAGTGGCAGGAGGTTGGATCATGTGCAAACTATAA